CCCGTAAAAAGCTCCACGGGCACGTCTTACTCGAGACCGCGCATGCGCCTTTTTATATATAATGTATAAAAAGGCGATCGATCATCACACAAACTTAGATCACAAAACATTAGGTACATATGCAGGGTGCGCCTGACATTTGAGAATAAAAAGGTGCAAAGCGAACACTTGTATTTGTTTTATAAATTTGAGGTAGGTAGAACGAAACGTTCTGCGCACACCCTAACACCACAACCGCACGTGTTATACATATTTGTCACGGAGCGAGCGAAGCGAGCGTATAGTTCGTTTTTTCTTTTCAAAAGGACGTTGGCTCCAAGCATGTTTTTCGAACAAGCACGTGTTTTAGCGAGCAAAACGAGCAAAAACTGAACCTGAGAAAATCGAACGTCGACTTATTTTAACATGTGATTTCTTCCCGATAATTTCCATATGTGTGTTTTGGAACCAGATATGAGAACAGTGGTGACGTCATACTGTCGAACATGTATTGCAATGTAACTTATAACTATCATGGACGGAACCGCTTACTCGATTATAAGCTCGGCAACAATGAAAAACTAAGTTTCACCCAAATTCGTTGACACTTGTCCCATTGCACGGACATTTGGGTGCCTGCTGCCACGAGTGACGTCATCATAGTATGTTCATTTTTAAGAAACAATTTCCAGCTACTTACCGTGCACAATTTGAAATCGATTATTTTTTCGGTAAGAAATTCTTGGCCAGACACTGAAGCTGCCAAAACTCACGTGAGAGCTTCGATATTGAACTTTGAGCCAGCGTCCTTTTGAAAAAAAACGAACTATAGTACCTTTCCTTAGATAAACGGAAATTTGAGTATGAGCGGCCGGCCGGCGGCCGTGGTCACGCTTTTGCGAGGCGCCTCTGGAGGCGCCTTAGGTATATCTCGGCTGTCTCCGGAGACACGAAAAAATGTCAGTAGGGAAAACGCTAGCACAAACCCTGCGCACTCGGCACAACGCGGCGCAGCTTCTGAACATGCCGTTGGGATAGTAGCGAGAGGTAAGTGTGTTTAAAGCGACGAAAGAAAGCAGTTGGATCTTGGTTGGATCTACATAGTAGGTATCTACCTAGGTAAGTCTTGAAGGTTGAGGTTGAGGAAAACCTAATTATCAGAGTTGAGGAATCAATAGGTACTGAGGAAATATTCAACTTTTCAAACAAAAGTATATTATATATTGTACGAAATCCCTTGTCAATGATTTCTATTAGTTGATGCAGAAGCAGTCGTTTTCCTTGCATTTGTTTTATATTTCAGTTCAAAATTCAGTTCTGATTGACTGATTTCGGAATGCATGTGAAGGTGGTACAAGACATTGATTGCATTCTTATGAGACCTCTAGGGGACACTACCGTCCTTTAAGTTTCACCTCCCGGTGAAAGTTACTCTGGCATTGAGGGCATTGCGAAGTTGAGACGTCTGAGGAACGTGCAGAGGTTCATTTATGGCGTTGTAGGTCAGTGACCTGATCTGACTTCAAAGTGCGGTTGGCGTCGCAAGATCAAGCTTGCATCAAAGGTCAGGTATGTCAAGTTTCAGCTCTCTATCGCTTGGGCGTTTTGAGCTATTGCGAAAACACATCATCACGGCATTTACCCCCTGCGATCAAGTGCACCAAGCCACGGTCAGCCCTTAGAAGAAAAAAGTGTCTGGATGCCAAGGCTGCAAGTGAAGCCGCAAGTTTTCACTTACTCCCCTAATAGACAGGGTCTTCGTAAAGGGACACCATTATTTTGAGTCCTTTCTCGTAATACTTTTTTTTTGTTGGGCTTGGTGAATTTAGTGAAAGTAATGTTCAGCGGCAGAAAACAATACAAAAAGTGTAACTAATCATAAGACATTTTGAACTGATTTAGTCCTTGTTTTTATTACGGAATCGGGCTTAACAGCTAAATGTCACTTTCCATGCAAAATGGATGTTAAAAACCTAGCATTTTTATCGTTCCGCAAAATCTTTAAAGACCGTAAACAATCGGCTGTGATTATTTCCCTTATGAAGTGCTACGGAGCGCTGTCTTTAACAATACTTTTGTCTACGAAAAAATGTCTTCTGAGCCTTGCAAATGTACTAATCGTAATCTTTGACGAATGTTATGTCGGCTTATGTGCGTTGTCTTCCAATTTTCCGAAAGAACTGTCTGATGGTTTCGCGAGTCTAGACCGGCCGGATCGCCTACCGTGCGTCGGCTGGCCGGCTCTATCGCTCGGACATACACGTCACACCCGTAACCGGCCAATGGGAATAACAGGACCAGATAAAATTTAAAAAAAAAAACAGGGAGCTTCAAGCAGTGGCGGCGGATTCGATTTTGGCGTGGGGGGGCAAGATCCCAGTCGAGATGATGTCATAGGCGGATCCAGAAAGGCGTTTTCGACGCTGTAGGGGACATCCCCCCCCCCAAGTGTCCAAAATCCAAAAACTCCTCGGATTTCGATTCCTGAACAGTATGAAGCAAAAAATGTCTGATAAAAGTTTATTATTAGGCAACATAAGGTACTTTTTGTCTATTTCGGGCGATGCAAGGGGAGGGGGAGTAAATATTTGCTTTATATGCCCGCTCCCTGGATCTGCCAGTGGACGATAGGTATAACGATTTTCGTATTGCTGAGTTAGAAAAAAAGCTCCTATGGGAAAAATTGTGCCATAGCCCATAACCCGAGTAGTAAAGTAATCTTGCATAACCCGATCGCAAATCAGATTTGAATAACGGTGCCGAACCTTTTGAAGTAGGCGAGCGCTATTCTTCAATGAGGTAACTCGTTACCATTTCCTCTGTTCATTTTACGTTCGATTTCCTTTTAACCTTCCTTTAAAAAGTATTTCTGAGACAGATATCAACTGAAACTAGCTAATAGCGGGAGGAGACCGCTCAAACGTTCAGAGACAGTCGGTCGCATCTAAACCTATTGGGACAGCAATCCGCCAGAAACCCACCCCAAGGCAGTAGTTCGCCAACTAAGCTCACCGAGACGGGCTGTCTCGATGGGTTTATCCTACAGATAAGCCCACAGCAAGACTTAACTAAGGCCCAAACGCTCGTCAAGCTGGGAACGGAGGGCTGAGGTGATGGAGTCGAGCAGCGGACTATGGTGAAGGAATTCGGTGGACTGGAACAGGAATCCAGAAGCTCGGGGGGGGGGGGGGTTCTTTATTAGGGCTTAAGGGTGCACTGACTGCGGTAAGGTCCAAATTATCACACCAAATTTTGCCAAGACATCTACCGGTTCAGGCACTCGAGAATCAGCGGCCAGTGATATCTGCAAAGACGAAGCATTTCCAACCCAGCTTCAGCCTGGTGTCAGGGCGCCTCAGGTGGCTTTAATTACAGTTGCACATACCAAACGACCTCAGTGCAGCCAGTCTGTCGCTGAAACCATTCGGAACAGACTTCAACGAAAAGTGAGACAAGGTTGGTGCTATCGTTAAGTGCCATTATAGACTTGGACCCCGTTGGCTTGACCCACTGGAAGGTGGTAGTTATCGGACGCTGCGGGGCATACTCATTTTTCCAAAATGCCTTAGATTTTGCTTTCGTGTTCGATGCTCTATATTCTTTAGCCAGAGGGGGGCCCACTAATGATCAGTGCCCTAACCCTCAAAAGTTTCCAACGTTATTTTTTACTTATTTAATAGTGAATACTGAAATAAGGCGGATACTGAACTGTGAACATCCAGTTTTTACACTGGCCCCACACAAGCCACCGAATGTCCAAAGCAGATCTCTGATGACTGGCCTTTGGGTGTCATACCGTGCATTGGTCAATGTGGTTAATGAGTACGACCTCGGCGTTTACCATGTTACTTGCACTGGAAACTGTTGCGCTCGAAAAAAAAATCAGGGGAGTGGCTAATTACGAGCGCTCATCAGTCCTAAACTACCCGCAAGCGAGTGGCTAGCCCTTCCGTCTCCGCTCGCTTGCGATTTGGCATTCATGTAGGTACGAAATAGCGGCAAACGACCATTGAGGGTGAGTTGCGTCTCTTGCACACTTAAAATATCTCTAAATCGAATCTGAAAAGACAAAAAATGCTATAAAGCGGAAATGGTTAGCATTTACACATATTAAAAAGGCACCGTTGGACAAACTGTAGGAGCGCATAGCTGCAATATCAGGCTATGGAAATGTTCCTCATGTTTAGGGCACGAATTATGGAGGGGCAAGAATATACGTTTGTCCCTCCTCCCGAAGTTTCTTAGGGAACGATGCCTCCTCTGCCGCTCCGTGTCCGTCGCCCCTGTAAGCGGTCACTGAAGGCCTGGGTTGCCGCTGCGTCACGTTGACGCTTATAATGCCTCCAAAACTAGGTTGAAGAGAGGAAAACTTCAATTGAACGCGAACATTTGTCATGAAAGGCAACGTATGCTAAAGTATATGGGCATCTGGTTACATCTTCAGATGATCGAACGGAATAATCAGGCCGTATATGTTTCTTGTCTAAGTTTTTCACAAATTATGGGGGGGGGGCAAAAAGATACTTTTGCCCCCCCCACGAGTTTGCCAGGGGGCAGCTGCCCCCCCTGCCCCCCCGAATCCGCCGCCCCTGGCTTCAAGTGACGGACGGGTCTTGGGGAGACGGGTCGAATAAGGAGGGAAGGGTAGGTTGTAGCTTTTTAGGCCGGCTTTTAGCTTTGGCAGAGTGCCTTCCCACACCTGACCAGCCGTCGCTGCTGGTCGCTGCACCCCTCGCAGTCTGTGGCAAGGCTATAGAACTCGTCTGTGGTGTGCGAGCGCCCGATCCGCTGTAGCTAGATTCTTGGCTGGGCCAGCCCAATAGCTTGTTAAGACGAAGCTGGTGAAAGGCGCAGAGGATACGCCGTATTGCACCACCGAATCGCGGTACTGCACCAATGCAAATGGGTATGTGCCTGACCCGGGTGGCTGCGTGTAGAATTTCAATAACCGTGTGGCATACTCAAATGAAAAGGCGCACGCCGTATGCCTATTTGAATTGCGATGCATTTGACAGACAAGACACATGCGGGTTATTGGGATCAAAGGCAGCAGTTCCATCCTTGAAGACATGTGTATATTGCCTAAAATCACCATGTCGATGGCAACATGTCAACAATTTTTTTTTTACATGCATGCATGCACTGCATAGATCCTGAAAAGAAAAGGGCGTTGGCCATGCATCTGGACATATTTCTATCGTGTTCACCGTTCATCAATTTATGGGTCGATAATAGTGCACAGATATGCGCGATCCTGGTGCCGTGCGCCATTATTCATCGAGTGATGACCGAGGCTCATTAGGAAACGGAATAGGAGGGGGAAGCAAAATTCCTCTTTTACTCTTTTTGAAAGGAACGGGTAAGATCATGTGCAACTTGGTCTTCTTCCTCCAGGGAGCTGAGCGTTGTAGGGAGACGTCCGTTGTAAACGGCTTGATCCCGAAGGTGGTGTGCTGTTTGATCCAGCCGAGGTAGGAGCTGACGCGCGTGTAGATGCCCGGGTACTGGGAGTCGCCGCAGCGCGGGTGTCCACTCGACACTATGCCGACCAGGTATCGGTATCCTTCGGAGTCGACGATCACCAGCGGACCGCCAGAGTCGCCCTGCGCCAAAAGCACAAGGGAAGTGGCGGTTACAATCTAGATCTAGAATTGCAGTTTATTACGGAGCGAGCGAAGCGAGCCAAGTCACGTAGAAATAGCCTTGCGTAGAACAGCAGACATTCACATATGTAGCTGAGTATGAGCGGCCGGCCGGCCGTGGGGACGCTTTTGAAAGGCGTTTTCAGGCCCATGTCACTCCACTTTTGATGACATCATAAAGGGGCATTAGGACAATAATGGCGCGGTGCGCCACAAACGCTTCCAAGCTACTTGCCAACAGCTGCCATTTTTGAAAATATAATTTTGAAAGAAAGTTAAAAATAATAAAAACATTGTATATTGAGAATACAATATTTTTACAATATTCACAAAAATAGTGTAATTAAGTTATTAATTAAATCGATACTATATTGAAAAACTTTAAAAATTGATTTATTCATAGTAAAAATATAAGCTCGATGAGATTTTACGTTGCTTTCCTGCAACTGCAGAGGGTTTTTAGATCGTCTATATCTTAAAAACTGGCCATTTCTTAGCATATGGCTGCTCTTTTTTATCGCTAGAAAATTAGTTGGGCTTTTTATTGACAGCAACGGTTGAACGTTAAGTGGAAAGCGGCATCAATCATCTTCAAATGAAGTTAGTCATTTTCATAGGCGCGGGAGCGGGGGGGGGGCAGTGGGGGCAGCTTGCCCCCCCAACTCCAGGGCCGTGGGGGCGGTGCCCCCACAACTTTGAGACGAAATTCTGCACTTTTTTGCAAATGTTTTTCTTTTTTTTTGTTGAAAAAGCCAAGGGATGAAAAATAAGTGGCCTAAAACCGGTGAGAAAACTAGATTTGGGGGTACCCTAGGTTCATCTCCATTATGGTGTGCCCCCCCAGTCTGAAAGTAGTTCCCGCGCCTATGGTCATTTTCACCCGTAAGTATTAACCCTAGAACGCCTGGGGGGGGGGGTTGTATCAACCCCCCCTGAGGTTTTTTCGAAGTGCACGCTAAACGGCTTGTCGTAGCGGGCTGAAATTTTCAATACCCTCTGGGGCAACCTTTGCGCATCTTTTGCCGAAAAAAATTGATCGGGTCATGTCAGGTCACGGAGTTATGACGTCATAAGAGGTACAGCCTCCGGCCGACAGTTACCAAACCTGTGCGCCGAATCCCTAGGTTTTCTGCCGGTGATACCCACATTGTTTGATGGATCATGATGAAACTTCCCATGCATGTTGGGGCAAGCATTGGCTATCGTGTGGTGCAAGAAAATTGACCGGGTCAGGTCAGGTCACGGAGCTATGACGTCACAAGAGGAACAGCGTCCGGTACTATTTTTGAAAAGCGCCCGAACCACTATTTTGCTAATTCTTGTCACCTCAATGGGAATATGCAGCAATATTAGCTTCTATAGGGAGCAAATGGACCTCCCAAATCCAAAAATACAATCAGATTTCAAAAATTTAAATTTTGATTTTTCGAATTTCTGCCGCCGACTGTGACCTTGCCGACTTCCGGCGCTCCCAACGCGCCATTTTTAGAGCTAGGGAAACGAAATACATACCAAACGATAGAGAATTGATCAAGGAACACGATAGTGAAGGTTTCAAGTCGATATCTCCCACCGTTTTGCCGCAATCGCCGCGGAAAGTTGAAAAAGTTTGATTTTTCGGAAAATTTGACCTTTGACCGGTCATAAGTAGGTCAAATATTGACCTAGGACCAAAAAATATACCACCAATCGCGAGATCTCGTTGAGAGCAATCCGTTGGTTTTTTCCGCTAAGCTCTACGACCTTCCGTTTCGAAACGCCAGGGGGGGGTCGTAACAACACCCCCCCTGGTCGTTCGTGTTATGAGAAATGGCCTGGTCGTGCGAGGGTTAAGTCACCCGTAAGTATTAACTTTATGACCGACTCACTTTTCAAAGGCAAATTTTACACATTCTCCCATTTTTTGAGCCCCTTAATCCTGATATGATACCTACTTTCATGTCACCTGAAAATATAAGAAAAACATAACCAAACCTTACCTAACCTGACCTACTGATTTTTGCCTACCCGTGGATAAGGAAAAAGTTACTCACATGAATAGATTGCAGACAATGATAAGTCAATTATTTTTTAGGTTAACCCTCCCACCTTCAAAAAAGTTAATGAGTTGGCATGAAAGTGATGTCGCTCGGTTCAGAAAGAGCAAAAACGAATATCTACCAAATTTCACCGAAAAATAATCACCGGTTTTCAAGATATTATTAGACTTTTACTTTTGTTTACTTTCTTGGGATCTCCGCTGTTTCTAGCGACTTCATTTTGGAAGTGCGGCGTTTGCGGCAGATGTTGCGCACAAATAGCATATACCACCACTGCTTCACAAAGATGTTAGTATAAGGTTTTAAAATCTTTAGATCACCGCTGACGTCACAAATTCTAAGGGGGCATCCCAATGCATTAGCCCCTTAGAATCCGAAAACTGCAAGTTTGAAGTTCCATATCTCCGAATTAAAACATTTTTCGATGTTGTGAGTGCCCAAACCGGCATTTGCAGGCCATGGCCACCAATTTGGCTATCTCAACTCAAAACTAATGTTAAGGTGGGATGGTCACTTTATGTGGTTGTGCATCAGGCCTGAAGCCAAATACACAACCACTTAACCTAAAAATATTTGGCTTACCATTGCCTGTAATATCTCCTAAGGCATTGCCTTCGGCACTGCACTGCTTCGCCACGAGCAATTTGATGCTAATTTCCATATTGTATTGGTGCTTTTAAACTTGTTTGTGCCTCGAATAATTATTAACTAGTTATGAGATCAGGAGGTCAAAGGATATCATGTGATTTGCTCTTTACTTGGGGATTGCACCAAAAGCAAATTCGTACTCGGTCCTGAAGTAAATAAATACCACCTAACCTAACCTAACCTAACCTAGGTTTGCAGATTGACATTTCGGCAAATTCACATTTCAACTAATCAACATTTCGGTAAACTGACATTTTCGCAAATTTACATTTCGACTAATCGACATTTCGGCAAACTGCCAATTCGGCAGATTGACATTTCGGCAAATTTACATTTTGGCCAATTGACATTTCGACTAATGGACATTTCGACTAATAAGCATTTCGGCAAATGGCATTTCGACTTTTAGCATTTCGACTTTTTGACACGTCGGCAAAAAGCACATCGGCAAAATGACAGTCGGCGAAATGCATTCGGCAAAATGACATTCGGCAAATCGCCTTTCGGCAATTTGTCCGGACACCGTTTGAACACCCCCCCCCTGCGGTTTTTCGCAGATATCTCAAAAACGGCGCTGCCGTTTTTGGCATACCTGTTGATGCATCTTTTCCACACATGTTTTGAAAATTTCAGGCCCAGGGCTCTCAAGGTCAGGTCATCAGGGTAGGTCAAGTGATCTCACCTCAGAAAAACTCCTCCTCGTCCTCGTCATAGCTACACCGACTGAACGATCGCCTTGAAACTTTCGGCTATTGATAAGAGTAACAACAGTGTGCAAAAAATGTTTATCTCGGAATTTTGATATGGGTGATCTAATGTCAGGTCAATTTTGCAACCTCTCCATTCAATGGGAGAAAATTGAAATGCGCCTCTTTTGGACGAATGATGCTCAAAACCCTCTCAAACATCGGTTCATAGGTAAACATGACACACTGAATCGGAAAAAATACACCTGTGACCCCTCTGTGTGCCCCTGAGGTCATGTCAGGTCATGAACGGTCACCAGCATTTTTTTTGGCTATAACTTTTGATGAAGACGTGCTAGAGCGATGCAAACACGTTAGATGTCTTCAGCTCGGCGATACGGATCGACTGATATGCAACATGACCCATTCCGGTCAGGCCACGACCTTGACCTGAGGTCAAATTTTCAAAATGACCTTTCAAGGTCAACAAATAGTTCATTCGACGCGTCTCGGCGAGAGGAACACGATGCTGCCAAAAGTAATCTCGTGGCTCTCTAGAGTTAATGACGAAAAACCATTTTCGTGAAAACTGCGATTTTTTACAGTTTTTGCCCTCTGGAGGCTAAGCCGTTGACCTGAGGTCAAATCTGAGAACAATATCCAGAAAGGTCTATAAAAGGGCTACGCCGCGCTTTTCCGCGGCGTTGTAGCTCTATTGGACGCAAAAAATGTCCATATGTTTCCGCCATTATTTTTGACGCTCTTTCGAATGCCGCTTACTGCGTGTCGCTACGTGGCCCAGGAGCCGAGTTAGACGGGGGGGGGGGGAGGTGTTTAGACACCCCCCCGGCCCGGCGCGGGATGCCGAAGGCGCGGGGTAACCTTGACAATCCTGACAACCATTTGACAGCAAAGCTCATATCCTTGCCAATGAGTTTATAATTGGTATGCGGCTAAATTACTATTTCATGGTCAATATTTGGTAGACCATAAGGTTTGTCTGACGATGCACAATGGACGCTGGGCTGGCCAGCGGTTGGCGCGCTCGGTACTCACCTGGCAGGCGTCCTCGCCAGCCATCGGAGAGCCAGCGCACAGCTTGGTGTCGCCAAAGCCTCCCGGAAACTGCTCAGAAGCGATCGCCAGGTATCTTTTCTCGCATTCTCGTAGGTTCCTGCCCTTGATGGCCACAGATCTTAGCTTGTCGGAGAAACCTAGGGATTAAAAACGGTCCGTTAATCTTGATCTCAGGACGACATTAATTCATTTTAATCAATAATTAATAGCTGTTCAATTATGTTGTTCATTTCCCTTGGGGAAGACAGATAATATTACGCAAAAAGAGAAGATAATATATATTTAATTGCCTGGTCCGAACACCATACCAGGCATTATTCGGTCGCTTTCCCCAAGGGTGTAAGTGAGGACATTATTTTGCCGAAAATAGCGTCCGAACGGAGTGAGGATGATATTTTCGAAAATTGCACGAATGAAATAAGTGCAATTTTCGAATTGAATGTTCGAGTCTGCGAGCACATTCAATGAAAACACGCTTGAGGAAAGCGACCGTATCATGGCTGGTATAGTATTCGGCATTTAAATTTATTATAGTAAATTTTAGGCTCCGAGCACCAGCCCATCTGTGAGAAGGGGCCACATCAGGGCCTTGGGGGGCCTGATCAGCGAAAACGGGGCACGGAAGATTTGGCGTGCAGTCGTCCGGTCTGCAGCCGCGAGCCAGCAGCTCCCCGATTCAGGTGAACGTGGCCAGACACCGCCGGCACCTGCGGCGGAGGCTGACGAGGCAGTCGGCGACCGCCACCTTCAACAGCAAGAAGCTCAAGCTGTGACGAGACCGCCAGCACCTGCGGTCCCGGTTGTACCAGTGGTGCCACTGCACCAGGCCGACCTGACTCGGCCTCCGCCACCGATCCCGGTTCACCCTGCCTTCCGTGTCGGATACCCGACAGCGCCCGCCGCCCTCCAAAGTGTTCAGCGGCCAGTTCCACAACTGTGTCTTCTACTGAGCGGTGGTTGGTGGACTGGTGGTGGTTGCAAGATTACAGCTGTGCTCCTATACATACCTACGACTTCAGTTTCGGACCACGCGATGTGGTGAAAGACTGTTAAAGGGACTATCCCACCTTCTAAAATGTTGTTAAAACCAGTTAAATTGTGCCCGACTTTATAGATTGGATGACCAGGAACACGGTTCTGGCAATTATTTTTCATTAAACATCTTAGGCTTCCCATATTCCAAACACAAACTTTCAAATATGTGACGTCACAGCCCAAAATTACCTCCTTCCCCAGGCCACATTACTGTCATAAAGCTGATTCTTTTTACTCTGTAGGCACCGCAACAAAGTTCAGACCAAGTTTTAAGCGATTTTTCAACGAACAAACCCATTTAAATCAGAATGACTAAACGAGGTGACGTCACACTAACGGTCGCTCCATGTTGAAGATAGGGCCTTGTACAAGGCCCATTTTCAAATGAAGGGAACGAATTTCTTCAACACAAGAGGCCGCGGGGGTTGCAACCTAGATAGATAGTGGTTTCTGAACCTCGCCGCAAACTTGGCTATCTCAACTCAAACCCCATGTTAAAGGTGGGATAGTCCCTTTAAATAATGTTGTTCACTGCTATAGTGAGTGGTACCAATTAACATTGCTCACTAGCACTCAAGATAAGTGTGTATCGTTATTTCAAATGACCCATTATGTGCGTTGTTGAAGTTGAGTGATTTTAAGCAACATGTTTTCTTTTCAAAATCTGCATTAAACATGCAATACAAAGGCTATATTTGAACAGAGCCGTTTGAAAATATTTCGAGGAATGCACTTATGAAATGCAGACAAAATGTCATTATTTTCATGCCTCTGAGATTTAATGGTAAATACATAGTTACATCGGCATGGAATTCAAGCAACTATCACACTGTGAAGAACCCAAAACCACAGTAAGCGGAAAACGGTGCATTAAAGGGACAGTATCACCATTTTGATGAAATTTGACATTGCATAGGCCCCACCTTTCTGGTCCGGGAACTGAAGACCGATCCTCGAAGCTCCACACCGTTATCCCGCTATCGCCGCTCAAAGTACGAAAGGTGTACTACACTTTGAATCGTGCTTCACTATCTTCACTGTTTAAATGTTTGCGCCGTTTTGAATTGACCGCCAGTAATAAAACTTTTACCCTGGTCATTTCATCAAATTTTATAAAGCCAAAACGTTTTTCGCACTTATTCATCACCGTTAAATTCATTAAATAGTCGTAGGCAATTTCCGCTGTTTCCTTCGGATTCTAGCGGCTCAACAAAGGAATTCCTTCAGCTTGAAGGAATTCCTTCAGCTTGTCACGTGATATCTTCTGGGCAATACCTAATGCTGCCTTTCCCTCATAGGCGTAGGAACAGGGGGGGCCAGGTGGGCAAGTGCCCACCCACTTTTCGAGGTGGGGGGGCCAACCATGTGTTCTGGCCCACCCACTTTTTACTCGAGGCCCCTCGTCTCGATTTGAGAGGACGTCGTCACCTTCCAGAATAAACAAACTCGGTAAAAATAAGTTCCACGAATCCCCACGCACGGACTCCAAGGGGCCGTGATGGATTCAACGAGGCCCTCTGTTCATCTTGTCAGTCGAAGCCCCTGAGACTGATGGCCTGAGAGGCCCTAGTGGATCTGAGGAGGCCCTAATATACACACTGGTCTGGGGAGGCCCCTGACACTGGCGGTCTGGGAGGCCCCTCTATCCACACTAGTCAGACGTCTGAGACTGGTGGTCTGGGAGGCCCCTCCATCCACACTAGTCAGAATAGGCCCCTGACACTGGCGATCTAGCCGAGGCCCCCTACCCTCACTAGTCAGAGGAGGCCCCTCTATCCTCAATAGTCAGAAGAGGCCCCTGAGACTGATGGTCTAAGAGGCCTATCCATCTACACTGTAGTCAGAGGAGGCCCCTGAGACTGATGACCTGAGAGGCCCTTATAATCACACCAGGCAGAAGAGGCCCATGAGACTGATGGACTGAGAGGCCCTTCTATTCATACTGGCCACAGGAGACCCCCAAAACTTTCGGTCTGGGAGGTCCTCAATCCGGCACCAGTCAGAAGAGTCCCCCATGAGACTGATGGCCTGGGAAGCCCTTATATTCACACTAGGCAGAGGAGGCCCCTGAGATTGATGGTATGAGAGGCCCTCATATTCACACCAGTCAGAAGAGGCCCCCGAGGCTGATGGCTGTGAGGCCCTTCTGTTCATATAACTGGCCACTGGAGGCCCCTGAAACCGGTGGTCTGGGAGGGCCCTCTATCCAAACTAGTCAGAAGAGGCTCCTGAGACCGATGGTGTGAGAGGCTCTTATATTCATACTGACCACAAGAGGCCCCTGAGACTGATAGTCAGAGAGGTCCACTCCTAATGAATCTGAGGGGGGCCTTCTATCCACATTTACACTTTTCTAGGGAGGCCCCCGAGACTGATGGTCTGAGAGGCCCTTTTATTTAAACTGTCCACAGGAGCCCCCTGATATAAATGGTCTGAGAGGCTCTTTTATTTATACTAACCAGAAAAGGCCCCTAGGTAGGATTGATGGTCTAACAGGCCCTTCTATCTATACTAGCCAGAGGAGGCCCATGAGACTGATTGTCTGAGAGGCCCTTCTATTCAAACTAGGCAGATGAGGCCCCTGAGAATGATAGTCCGAAGAGCCATGCGGCGGCAACTGGCCGTGGCCATATTTCGGCCCGGTGGGGCCCCACAGAGCTCATGAGAGCACCTCAAGGGCTCCTAAGTAGACACGCTTATCCCCATAAGGGTGCCACGCCGGCTTCTGAAGGCTCCTTGCAGGCATCTAAGGGCCCTTTCCGGCCTCTAACGGCTCCACCCGCCTGTGATGGCTCCACACCAGTGTTTATGAGCGTCACACAGCGGCGCCTTTGAGGGTCATACTAGTGTCTCTTAGGGCCCTATATCGGTGGCTCTGGGGTCCCCACACCGGCGCCTCTGTGGGCCACCACACCTGCGCATCTCAAGGCTCTATAGGTACATCTGAAGGACCCACACCGACACCTCGGAGGGCCCCATACCAGTATCTCGGAGCTCTGAAGGCCCCACACCGGTGACTCTGAGGACTCACCGGCTCCTGAGAGCACCATGTTGATGTCTAACGGCTCCACAAGGCCACTGAAGGCACCACACAAGTTCTCACTGAGCTCTAATGTCCATGTACCGGTCTCTGAGGGATTTAAGCCAGCGCATTCATAGCTCCACACCAGCAATTGTAAGGGCTTCACACTGAAGTATCTGAGGGTTCCACACCGGTGTCTCTAAGGGCCACATACCGGCATCTCTGAGGGCCCCATACCGGCGTCTCCGAGGGTCCACATCTGGCGGGCACCCATCAGCGACTGAAGGTCCCACACTGTCGACTCCGAGAGCCCCATCTGCGTCTGGGAGCAACATGCCGTCTCTAAGAACCACAGCGGCTCCTCCGTACGAAAGATGGGCGTCTGCATGCCAAAGGGGAGCGGTTCTGAGACAGTAGGGCACCTACGTGCAATATCTAGAGGGGCGCCTATGAAGCCCATAGGGGCACCTCAATGCGCAAGAGGGGCGCCTCTGAGGCCTACATAATATATGGGCGTCCACATGCAATAGAGGTCTGCATTGATCAATGCCATGGGGGTGCATTCATAAGAAACATGGGCGCCGGCATGGCAAAGAGAGGCGCCTTCAAGTGTCCATAAAAGAGAGACGCCTATGATAAGCGCACATTGTATGCGACAACGGGGCGACTGTGGGACATATAGGATGTCTCTGATGACTATACATAGGGCGCTTATATGCCAAAGAGGGCGCCTATGAAGCTAATGGGGGCACCTGGGAAACGAGGAAGACATTTGTGTAAGGGTTTTCAGGGGTCATGCGCCGTTTGCGGCAAATAGATTCTAAAAAAAAAATCGGAGGGGGAATAAGTTTTAAAAATGGTGCGGACTTTCCGCACTGTTCGCTTAAGCGGTTACGCCCCTGGGTACATCTGCCCGAGCCCCGATCTCAGAAGCTAGATTTGGAGGTCATACTTGAAAGCAGCCAGCAGGACGAGGCAAAAGTTGGAGGCCCCTGAAAATAGGAGGCCCCTGAAAAAGGAGGCCCCTTGACAGGGTGGCCCACCCACTTTTCATGACGTTCCTACGCCCGTGCTTTCCCTAACGACAACTCAATCAGAAAAGCGGCCGCGTAAGCGTAGCGTCAATAATGTATTATCTGCGCCAGTTCTGTAGTAATTTCGCAGGCTTCCAAAGTGGCGGCCATGCTTGTAGTGGTGGTTCGCTCATGAAAATGACTCGCTCATGAAAAAAAATATTTTTCACCGAGTTCGGTCCTCAAACTATGTTTTTCTGATTCAGAAAAATAAGAAACGCTAGTAAAAAAACAGCTCCATACATTGATTTTTTTCGATGATACTGTCCCTTTAATTTCGTTATACTACTATGGCTGAGCAACGCGCCTCGACGACGGAGCACGATGCCAGTACAATCAATATCGGGCAAGTATTGAGTCACAACATGTCAACATTTTCGTAACACGTCATTTTATGAGACTGCCCTCTGGATATGCTACTATGGCTGGGTATTGTTGCATTATAGTTGCTTGACCCCAACCTATAATAGCTCCACGAGTGTGACCTCACCCAATTATTTAACGTTAGAAACCGAACAGAGCGAGATTACCTCAAACTGTACAAGCCCCATCACCGAACATTGAAGAGAGGAAGATTTTTCTCACAAAGAGTAATAAATAAATGGAATTTGTTAAGTTCTCACATCAAGATGGCAAAAACATCTAACCAATTTAAGTCAAGATACGACAAACATCGGGCAGACACACAAGACTGACCCAAGAGAAATCAAACTGATGTAGAAGAACGTATAATTCAAAAAAGAAATGGGGTACAACATAGACCTCGACGTCTTCTCCCAGAGCCCAAACAACCTTGATTCTTGATTCTTGGAGGCTAAGCTGTCAACCTTAAGTCAATGCTGAGAAAATAACTATGAGAGCTACTTAGGTGTTGTTTTTATATGAGAGCTACGTATAAAAGAGCTATCGAATAAGTTTTTTAGCAACAGCCCCGCGACGGCACGGCACCGAAAGCGCTGAACGCCGGCCCGGCGCGGTGTAAAGGCATTTAAAAGGCAAATTTGGCAAGTCTTATTATCGCAGACCTTGGGAAGAAAATAACCGGGTCGCATCCTACTTTGATCCCAGGCATATCTCACTTGGTACGCAGTACTTATATGTAGAGCGCAGTGTGCGACACGATTACAGCACCCGCTGGGGCGGAGGTTTCGGCTCCTCGTCAGGCAATACCAATTGAAATGATAAAAAGAGCTGTGCAAAAACTCACTTCCATCGGAGGTGAGACCCCAGCCGGCCGCGATGACGGTGTGGTTCTCCAGGTCGCCCGTGTCGCTCCGTGGCAGACAGATGGGCTGCACCAGCGACGTGTAGGGCACGAACATCGTCAGACGCAGGATGGCGATGTCGTCCTGCAGTTGACCTTTCTGGGACACGATATAACGCGCGTCAATAGATCAAATAGTCACCGAGAAAAACCCTGTCGATCAAAGAAACCAAATATCATTCACTAGTCACGTGACACAGTAATGATCCATTTAGGCCATAGATTCCGAAATCAGGGTCATTTGTGTCATTTGAGGTCATTTTAAGCTGAATATAGCTGAGGTTAGGTCACTTTGAAGTCAAAAGGTCAAATTTTGAAGTTAAGATTTCTCAACAACAACAAAATGCCGTTTAGATACAGTTTGAGCTTAGGAACACGATGGCGCTTTTTATTTTGTTGTACGATGTCGAAAACGTACTGCAAAAAAGGATTTGATTTTTGAAAATGGTATAATTTTGACTACAAAGCATACAACTTAGCCATTTTTGAAGATATCGCCTATCGGGCTAAAACCTTCGAGAATGGACAATCGGTATGTGAGCTATCACGTATGTACCTATATTCTGGTTTCAACCACAATCAGAGACCGAAACAGTTCACAGATTGACCTGCTCCTGCAGTCTTTTTTGTTGGTTATCCCCCATTCCTTCGACCACTTTTTCTGAGGAAACAAATCTCAGCAAACACCAGGACAATAAACCTGCAGTTTTTGGTTGGATAGCTGCATCACCATAATGATTGATCCAATCAAAATTGTGGAGCAAAGCGTACGTTTGTGTTATTATTCCTGATCGACTTTTAACTGTAAATGCCATAGGTATTTGGCGTGCACTTACCTGAAAATTCGGATAGATGAAAATGCGATGAACTCCGTAACTACCCGGGGTGTCTTGGCTGCGGACATACACGCCCACGCGAACTCTGATAAATATTTCGCTGAAAATGTGATCCACGGTTATTAATTACATTATGCAGTATGCACTATACCTACAGTCCTACACAGAGATTAATATTACATTGTGTCACAAAGCCATTTTCGCAAATTATGGTTGGCATTTTTTTTGGGTGGGGGGGGGGGGTAAACTGGCGATATTGTGGCCCAGGGACCCTATGAATAACCACCTCCAGTCCAAATCAGAGGTTAAAATCAAATATTTGAGAAACTAAGACATGCTTCCCGCAACTCCAAAGGTCATGGTGTTACATCTAGCGAAATCTGGATTTATCTATGTATCTTATTAAATTATTCAGAAATAAAAATCGTCACGACCTCAGCACGGCAAAGTCGACCAGGACACTACTCGGGCGCGGATTGACCCAGAAATTCACACCCATTCAATGAAGCACGATCCCTATTTGTAAAATGTCATGTTCACTCCACCATCAATTAACACTAAACACAGCGCCCCAGTCTGGATTTCATTTCGGGGGTCAGAGCGTTCAAAATGGGCTGCGGCTAGTTACCATCCGAGTAAAAGTTCGATCCGCCAAATTTGGGATGGACTAATCTGGGCTATTAACCACTATGGAGAGAATAATTCAGAGAGAAATCTATAAAAATCTTGAAGGAAAGTTGGGAGTGGAAGGTGGTAAAGGTGTCAGAATGCGGTCGATGAAGCAGGGAATTGATGTACGTCAGCCCTCTAGGAAGGTTCAACTCATCAAGTCACCGCTGAAGTAATGTGAGGTAGGGGAAGGTGGGGTAAGACGGACCAGCTAAGGTTTGAGGCCTTATATCTTGCTACACTGCTTCGAGCCTCATATTGTTATAGTCTTCTGAATGCTTAATCCTTCCTCTTTTGACATGTGCAGAGAACGATTTTTAAATTCAAGAAATATAGGCGGTGGCTGCTCGTAAAGGGGGACAAGTCAAAATCACCGACAAGAAAAACGCGGGTTAAGACGGACCACACAGCAGTGCCTGCTATCCATTCATGTTTGTTACATTTCTGCTCTGTTCTCTTGTAAGTAGAAGTAACCAGAGTGGTTCAATAACAAAAAAGCCTTTATTCCGTACTCATACGTGGTGGAAGTGCAACTAAAAGCTAGGAAACTGTTGATTTCCGTTTAGGGTGAATGCGTGCTAGCTCAGCACTTCTATGCATAGCTCACAAGAAACAAAGACTCCTACCTGCAAAATAGCTGATTAAAACTCAGGTCAATATTTTAGCAAGATTTTTCGTCATCGGGCTAAAATGGACCACCACAGGGAGGATAGACCACAGTGGTCCGTCTTACCCCAAATCTAAATCTTGTAATTATCATGATGTAAATGTTAAAGGGACTGTCCCACCTTTGCATTAGTTCTGAGTTGAGATAGCCAAGTTGGCGGCCAGGTTCAGAAACCACTATATATCCTGGTCGCAATATCCTCAGTTTCGTGGTGTTAAAGAAATTCGTTCCCTTCATTTGAAAAGTGGGCCTTAGCTAAGGCCCTATCTCTTAACTATTAACGGCCATTTGATGACGTCATTACTCATTTGCCTTTTGAACGCCTGTCACACATTCAAGTGAAGTATCACTTGATTTACGAATAAGCCAATCAGACATAGGCGTAGGAACAGGGGGGGGCCGGGGGGGCCATGGCCCCCCCACTTTCGGAGGTGGGGGGGCCAGCAATGTTAACTGGCCCCCCCCCACTTTTTGCTGACTTAAGTGTCTGTCTGTACTGGTCTGTACCTAACCTACCACCCGGTAACTTGACAACTATTCAGCTTGCCTTAATGAGGATTCCTTTTTGTTTCTACAGCGTTATTGACCGCAATTTCCTTCACTCAATGAAGGAAACCATATCAGAGACAAGACTTTGAGTCCTGGTGACAGCATTTTGTTGAATACGAGGCGCGGGACAGCGAGCACTAAAAAGGTATAGGCAATACTAAGACAATACTAGCACGGTGCAGGAGAATGCGTATACAAACGACCAACGCTTGACCTTATCTGCTTGGGGTCGGCATAGTTCGTCAAAGGCGTACTAGCTGGGGGCCAGGGTGACCGTGCCTCAGCCTCGGTTCAAAACAGGCTGGGGGCCAGCAATGTCTGTTTCTGCCCCTCCCCCTTCCACTTTCAGTGCAGTGGCGGTCGCAGAGGGGGATCAGGGCCATGCCCTTCCCCCCTCCAAAGGCTAATCAGGGGGCCATCATATCATTTGCCCCCCCCCCCCCCAAACAACCAATGGGCCCCCATGGGCGTATGGGGCTCTGGCCCTTATTCGATTGTCACGAGCCTCAAGAATCCCACGCTAGCCATTAACAGCTCCCAAACCAGTCTTTGAGGGTCCTACACTGATCTCGGAGGGCCCTTCAGTGGCGGTCAAGCGCCCACATTGACCGCTGAGAACCCACATTGACCTCATTTGAGGGCCCTAAACCGGCCTCAAGGGCCCAGCCGGCGTCTGAGGGCCTCACACCGGCCTCTGGTGGCCTCATTTCTGTCTCTGGGGTCCCAAGACTAGCCTTTAGGTGCCTTTGAAGGCCCCGCACTGAATTCTGAAGACCCGATGCCGGCCTCTAAGGGTCCGCATCGACCTCTGAGGGTCCACCTTGGCCTGAGGGGTCCAACGCCGGCCCATGCCGGTCTTTTAGGGCCCCACACTGACCTCTAAGGGCCCATGCTGACCTGTAAGGACCCACACTAGCCTATGAGGCCTTGCACGGGATTCTGAAGACCTGATGCCGGCCTCTGAGGCCCATCTTGGTTTTTGAGGGCCTTCTGCTGGTCTCTGGGTTCCAACACCGGCCCATGCCGGTATTTTAGGGTCCCACATTGACCTCTAAGGGCCCCGCACTGGATTCCGGAGATCCGATGCCGGTCTCCAAGGGTCCGCATCGGCCTCTGAGGGCCCACCTTGGCCTATGAGGGCCCTCCGCTGGTCTCTAGGTTCCAAGTCCCGCCCATGCCGGTCTGTTACGGCCCCACACTGACCTCTAAGGGCCCATGCTGGCCTGTAAAGACACGCATTAGTCTCTGAGGGCCTTGCACTGGATTCTGAAGACCCGATGCTGGCCTCTGAGGCCCATCTTGGTTTTTGAGGGTCTTCTGCTGGCCTCTGGGGTCCAACACCGGCCCATGCCGGCATTTTAGGGTCCCACACTGACCTCTGAGGGCCCATACTGGCCTGTAAGGACCCACATTAGCCTCTGATGGCCCAAGTCGGCATCTTAAGGTCTCATCCTGCCCTTTGCAGGCCCTGTACTGGTCTCTGAGGGCCTTAACCCTCGCCGGCCGGGGGGGGGGGCGGGTGCCGCCCCTCCATAGGTTTTTTTTTTCGCGATAGCTCCGAACACGCCGGCGATAGAGAGCTGAAGCTTGGCATACCTGACCTTTGAATCAAACGGGATCTTTTGACACCAACCGCATTTTCGGGTCAGATCAGGTCACTGACCCATGTGGTCATAAGTGAACCTCTGCACGGTCTTCAGATGTCGCAACTTCGCAACGCCCTCACTGCCAGAGGAGATTTCACAGGGAAATGAACCTTGGAGGACCTAGTATCCAATAGGAGTCTCTCAACTTGTATAATGTATATCTCGGATTTTTCCTAAAGTTCATATGAGGTCAGGTAATTTTCGTGACCTCACCATTAGGTATAAGTCAATGGGGATAAACTGAAAACTTTTTCTGGCGCCGGGAACGAATGATCTCCAACTATCTCAAGCACACCGAATCGTGATTTCATGCACTCCTTGCAAGGTTCGATGCGTCACTTTTGCAATGTTGACCTTGCGCGACGTCATTTATGAAGTTATAAGGGTCTTATTAGTTTTTCGCCAATAACTAGGTACCGATCAAATTGAGCTAGCGAGTCGGGAAAGCCACCTATGGACTCAAGAAGACCTGCCGAATCGAATGATATGCGACATGACCTCCTTCGACCAATTTCGTGACCTGGGGACGCCGACCTGACCGTGACCCGAGGTCAACACCCTAAGTTTACCTCACCCAAACAAAAAGTATATCATTCGACGCGCCTGAGAGAGGAAAACACGATGCTGGCAAAATCGCGGCTCTGCGGCCATTTTTTTGCGAAGTTATTCACCAAAAACGGAACCGTGCCTTGAGGCACTTGACCTGACCTCAGAGGTCACCGGTTTTTTGTTTGTTTTGTTGGGTTAGGCCCTTTCGGTCCAATGAGACCATTTCAGAGCCGGAAGGATGATAGGATATAGGGGGAGACATTGGTCTGGGCAGGCACCCTAGTGAGTCGCCGGGGCTGAGCCCGTCCAGAGGACAGGCCACCCAGCCCCAAGGCACTCACTGCACCCGGCTACGGGGTGCGCTCCCTCGGGAGCAGCGGTGCCGCTCCAAGGGAGCAGCCCGCATGAGATAAAGTTGCCTGTCCAGCCCGGAGGGGGTTGCGGTGTGGAGGAGAAGGATTTCAGTATCCTGAGGATAGAAGCACGGAACGGTGTCAGAGGTCACCGGTTAACCTAGGACCATAAAATCGGGTATCGATCTCTGCGTCTCGTAACGGCGCACACGCTCATTTTACCGCGAGGCGCTAGCTCCACCTGGGGCGAAACGGCGAGGGGGGTCGTACCCGCCCCCCGCCCCCTCGGCCAGCGCGTATGTAGAAAACCTATAGGACCGGGCCGTGGAGGGTTAAACTGGCCTCTGAAGGCCCACACCGTCTAAAAGTCCCACACCGGCCTCTGATAAGTGATAGTCAATCAGCCCAGTTGCAGTGGTCGCTGATATAAAACCTCTTAAAAACGTTATAGGCCTGGCTGAGCCTAGCTGGGCCGTTCATGCTGATTTTTATAGGTATATTGAAAAGACTCGCTTTGCACGTTTCACGCTTGCTCGTAATGAAAAAGTTGCTGCATGCCTCTGGAATTTGCATGGGTGCCAACGGCTGCGGAGGACAGGGGAACGCGTCCATCAGTTTGAGTTTATGGACGGGAGACTCCCTGAAATTTCAACCAATTTTTTTTCTTTTTTTTGTCTCGATTTTTTTTTACCTCTGAGCATGTTTGCGAAAACAAAGTGGCCGAAATCCGAGGAGAAATCGGATTTTGGGGGTAGGTTAGGTTTTGGACCTCTGGGACCCTGCCCCCCCCCCCACTTTCGAAAACGTTCCTACGCCTATGCAATCAGAGACACTCTTGTTATTGTATATGAGCCGCGTCATATGTATTTGAGAGCAAATATATTTGCTGCCAAATTTCCCCTCACATTGACATGAAGTAAATCCTTCATTACGTCACAGATTCGATATAAATGACGCCACGATGAAATATGAAAGTCGCAATATCTCAAAAAGTATACGATGAAAACGCGTAAAAACTTGCAGAATTCGTCAAAATATCATGAGTAACATTTCCGAGTCCTAAACGGTACTTTTCTGAAGGTGGGATAGTCCCTTTAAATAGCTCAACGTTGTGAAACCTTGCCTGTCCTTAAGTGTGAATATGACAATGTTCTTCACAGTAATGTGCAAATAAAAATTAATTATACAAGAAAGACGCTTGAATTAAATCATCCATAGACCTCTTATAGTAGATCAGTTTGACGAAAAACAGTACTTTTCTCAATAACTCAAGATGCATGCGTCCTGGCCCCATAAGCTCAAGGTGGCCATTAGCGCGAAGAAAAAGAAAGGTAGCTAGTGCATAAGGCAGCAGATAACATCAGTAGTTCAGCCGGGAAGGCTTGTGGTCCCGCCGGTACGACACCCCAGACGGTCAGTCTGCTCAGACCTATCTCCTTCCGACGTTCGATTTATCCAGGTGCACGACACGGTGGACCACCGCCTCCTCCGTGCGCGCCTCTGGACCAGGGGCTGCCTCGCTGTCTCGTCCAGTGGGTGTGGCAGTTTCTCCACCACCGTCGCGAGTGTGCGATACTGAACGGCATGCGCAACAGCGAACGTACCTTCTGGGCTGGAATTCAGCACGGCAGCGTTCTGGCGTCGACCATGTTTCTTAAATGGTCGTCACCTCTTGTCGCTTTCCCAAGCTCTGTCATGGCCGGGATGTCACCCTTCATGTACGCAGATGACACCGCGGCGCTGTGCGCCGGTAACGACATCTCTACCACCAAGCAGCGAGAGCAGCGGGCGGCGGATGCTCTGGTGCGCTGGGTAAAACAGGCGTCAGGCGTCAGGACGCTGCCCAGTCCAGATGAGGAACAATTCGGGTGAGAAGACCCAGCTGCTCATTCTCTCTCAGAGTGCCGCCGACGCCGGGGACTGCGCCACCAAGATGGACGGCAAACTGGTGCTAGCTGCCGACCGACTCAAACCGCTCGAAGTGACCCTTGACCGACTCCTTTACTTCGGGGGTCACTGTCGCAGCCCCAGCGCCCACGTGGGGTCCCGTACCACGCAGCTCCGCAAGTTGACCAGACGAGGCTAGGGACTGGGGGAGCGGCAGCTCCGCGCTCTGGCATCGGGCTACATCCGTGGAGCGATCAAGTCCGCGGCCGCCACCTGGCTCCCGGCGACACCACGGTCTCACGTGGAGCTTCTTGAGAGGGAGATGCGGGTGGCTGCACGCGCCAGCACCGGCTGCCCGCTGCCCACCCGGCCCATGCTGTGATGACGGAGGCCGTGCTGATGCCGGTGGCCGCGCGCGGGACTATCCTGGCGTCCAAGTTCCTCGCCAAAGCGCGTACGCTCCCCGTGGACGACCCGTTTAGGTTTGTCGCAGCTGCGGAGCCGCGCCATCGGCTGAAGTCCGTGGCGGGCTGGCGTGAGGTCGGGCGGGCGGCTGGGAACGCCAAACCACTCGAGCCCCTGCCGCCTGCCCGCGCACCGCCGTGGCAGATGGCTGCCTGCCCCCACATATCCTTAAGCCCCAACATTGGGACGCTGCGACAGAGGGCCTCGGCCAATGAGCTGCGTCAAGCGGTGCAGCGACGTCTAGCCTCTCTTTCGTAACGAGCCACATGTGTGTGAACAGTCGGATCGGCGGACCTTGGGGTCCGCAGCGGAGAAGCGGGGCCTACGTGGAGTGGCCGGACGGCGCGAATGATGAACTACGCGCCCCGGCCGGCCAGCTCTGCTCCAGCTTCAGAGGGGAGATGGTCGCGCTCCGCTCAGCCAGGAACCGCTTGCGCGACCACCCGCGGCACCCGAACTTCTGCCGTCTTTTGCACAGACTCACTGAGGCACTCGCGACGCTGAAGGAGGGCTCAGCCGCACAGAAGACCCCGCTGGGCGCCGCCTTGTGGCCGAGGCTGGCCCCTACCGCCACATCCATCTGCAATGGGTGCCGTCCCACTGCGGCATCGATGGCAACGAGCACGCCGACCAGGTCGCCAAGGAGGCGGCCGCGCTCCCCCCGGCGACGTTCCCGGTGGATGTCGGCACCGCTCACCGTGCGGCCACCAGATCGGCCCGCGACAGCGACGTCGCGGCTAAGGCTAGGCAGACACGGCTGGTATCGGTCCCTGATGTAGGACCGCCTGCCGCCGCCGGTGGCGGTGGGGGACCAAACTTCGGCCGTCGATGTCCACCAGCTTTGCACGATCCACTGGTTGGGCTCCCGCCAGAACATCCACCGGATCGGAGGGAATCTTACCGACGAATGCCGCCAGTGCTCCGACATCGACTGCGTGGTGGGCCGGTGCATCGTGCGCCGGGAGGAGGTGGACCTGGCATCTCTTCTTCGGCGTCCAGCCCTCATGGGAACGTGCCTCCGTCGATTCGGTACCATCTTTCCGGGTCCGGAGGCGGTCCGTGAAGACGGAGAGGCCGCGACCCTGGTGGTCGCCGTGAGGACCCTCCAGAGTCGTGCGGCTACGCCGCACGGCTCTCGAAATGTTAAGGGGGTCCCAAACAGCCCCCTTGCCACTAATAAGCCATCCTGGGTCATTGCAAGTAGTTCACTTAACCCTCGCCCGCACATGGGGGGGGGGGTGGTTGCCACCCCCCCCCCCAGGTAGTCTTTCTGCTCTGCACTCAACATTTTTAGAGCTAGAAGGCTGATTTTTCGTATAGCTGCTCGTCTATCCTTTCTTGATGTCCACTGAAAATTTCAAGTTACTGTGATTTTTGGTTTCGGAGATATGACCTTGTTTGTCAGGTCATGTCATGACCCAAATGGCCAATGCTCAACATATTGCGTTTGCCATGGGCCTTATGAGCTTTTGACACCCTGATTTCGGCCTTTTTTGCCAGTCTTACCTCCCACCTATCATGGAACATGTTGTTCGACGATGTACAGGGGTCAAGGTCAGGGTCAAGGTCAACCTAGGTCATCTAAGATAATTGCGTTTTAGGCAAGCTGAATTTACTTTTTTGAAGTTTTTTGACTGCATTTTTGGTAAAAGCTTCTCAGATCATGATTTCATGTAATATGAACCCAAAAACAATCGGTGCACACATCAGTATACACACAGACACACACAGACATACAAACACATATAATTGACCTTGACCTAACTTGACCTGAAATGACCTCAGCAGCAAAATTCTGGTCGGGTAGTGTGACAAAGAGGTTCTAGCTGGCTTGGCACCAGAAAACAGCATCGTCATCGGTATTTGATAAGCAGCACGCTTGATATCCAACGGTGACCCAAAACAGCAACATTTTTTAGTTTGACCTGACCTGGAAGGTCAATGACTGACCTGAGAAGGTAAAACTGTGTATCATTGGATTCGTCTCTTCCCAAAGAATCTTTTTGGTCTTTACCGCTAAGCTCTATCTCCAACAGGAACGAAATGGCGCGGGGGGGGTGACAACCACCCCCCCCATGTGCGTTCTAGGATGGGAAAATGGCATGTGCGGGCGAGGGTTAACGAGTTTAAACATTCTATTGACCTGTGCTTCATAGAGCGTGGTACCATTTTTGACACAATTGACGATTAGATAAAATTGAAATGATATGGTGTCCGTTGTGCATATGATCTGAAATATGTACCTGTGAAATGTGAATGATACTGATGTGAAAGGAGATGAAGTCATGACGTTCTTACCATGACGCTAGTGTTCTTGTTTTGATGTATCATATATTGCAGCCATGTTGGGCACCAGTGGCCTGTTGTTGCAATCAATATATGTTATGTTATGTTATAAGGGTAATCAGGAGCTTGCCACTAATAGGGTTAAACAAAACACGCGTATGGTTCCTTTGATTGTAGCAGATGATATTCTGAGTGACGACCATCAAAATATCCAGGCGCCTAATTTGTACTTCTGCTCCCAGACGCATAAGTACAAATTAGGCGCCTCGATATTTTGATGGTCGTCGACCCAGACTGAGATAAACATAACAAATGACCATTTTCAGTCGGTGCGCGACATAACTTCCCGCCCACGAACACTATACAATTTCCACTTTGCTTCCATTACACCTCGAGAGGTATAATGAACATAATCAACAGCCTGGATCCATCAAACGCCTTCGGCTCCGACGGCCTAATTGTACGACTTATAAAAATGGCTGCTGCTGATATTGCCGTAGCATTATTCAAACTTTTTGTTTAGTCTGCACGTGAAGGCACCCAACTCAATAGAAACAGGCAACAGTGAAGGCAGATTTCAAGTTCCCCGTCTGAAGCTGGATTGTATCGGCCGATTTACCTTCTACCATGCCTATAAAAGATTTTTGAAAAAGACTTATGTTCGCACGGATTCACGACCACATTCACAGTAATTCACTTATTGTATCATGAGAATTCCAAATTTCGCCGCGCTGCGCGCCGCAATTATCTTTACACACGCACACAAACTGGCAGGTACGGTCAAAACCGCCCCCTCCCTACCTTCCCACACGGCTAAAGTATAACTACCCCCCGCTCAGCCATTGTCGGAGATACCTGCTGTACAGCCGCTGAAAACGGATGGATGCATTTCTGGCGAGTTGCGCCGGTACGTTGAGGCAGTGCGCCGCCGTGAGCACGTGCATGTGGTCGATCAGCGTGGCGCCGCAGTGCAGCTTATAGCGGCCCTCATATAAGTCCCATATGTCGAGCAGCACCTGCCACAGGAGCCGAACGGGGGGAGGGGGGGAGGGGGAGGGCGTTGTCAGCCAGCAGTGCCAGTGCCGCCACACAGGGTATTTTGAATGAAAGGTACAACGAACTATGGGATGATTTACTACAAGAATGGAAAAAGAATTAATGCTTTAGTGGGGAAAAATTAAGGTCACGTGTTCTCGGGATCACGAATAGGAATTTTATGTTATTTGTTATCAAAGATGATGCATTCATGCATGTGGGCTAGGTCGGGTCAGTTCAAGTCAGGTCAACCAGAAGGCTGGCTATCTATAATGGGAGTGAACCATTAATGACAGCTTCCTAATATGTTGCATGCAGTGCCGACTGCCGGCGGAATGCATTTCTGAGAGGGTGGGCAAGATATCGTGGGGGCCTCCTGGCGAAAAGGGACCTTTTGTGTATGGGGGCCTCCTAAATCCGGTGAGTGAATGAACGGAGGGATACCTAAACGTATATCACCCAACTAGCATAACCTACTCTACAGGCATATTTTTCTGCCTGCCAATCCAACGAAAACAGAATTCAAAATTGCAGTTATACTTTGCTTAACCCGCGCCGTGCTGGGGGCGTTTTCATGCCCTTTTTGGTACACCTTCATACCTCTTTTCCGCATATTTTGTGGAAATTTCAGACCCGGGTCGTTCAAGGTCAGGTCACCAGGGCCTCGTTTCATAAAACTCTGCCGTAACTTACACCTTTCCGTATTTCACACCCTTTCAAACTACGGAGCGTAAATAAAGCCGTTTCACAAAGCCAAAACGGGAATTGTTTACACCTCCGTAACTAAGCACATTTGCGTAGTTACCGTAATTTATCAAGTGTCCTACAAATTACAATTTCATATCAACACTTATTTTTTTACGAGAAATTAGAAAACAATTATGTTGAATTTAGATCTTAAAAATTATTTATGAAAAAAACAAAATTGATATTGATGACCATCCTTTATTAAATCAATATATTGAAAACAGCAGAAAGCCAGCTAAGCAGAAGTGCCTAACTACGAAAGTGGCGCGGCGCGGCGAATAAACAAAATTCCGATAGTGGCCACAAAAAGCGACTGGTACAGAAGATTTGCAGTTTCTTTTTCTCATTTTGGCTGTTCTTTCTTCCTCACCGGGCTCAACATTATAAAATATATCAAAAATTAGCTTCGAATCTTCACATTAACTCAAATTCACGCAACATTTTTGTGCGTAGTTTACACCACTGATATCAAGAGCTTGATAAAATATTTGGCGTTAATTACGTCGTTTTGTGAAACCCAAATGGCATCAATTGGTCCGGAATCGAGCATTTGCCGTAAATGAAGCTCCGTAATTTCGATGGCGTGAATTACTCCGGTCTCCGGCTTTATGAAACCGAATTGGCATCAAATACGCCAAATCTGGCATAATTGACGGAACGCCGTAAGTAATTCCTTTTATGAAACGAGGCCCAGGTCACGTCAAGTGATCTTATCTCAGAAAAAAAGTTCAAAGGCTCGCTTTAGATGCACCGACTGAGCGATCACTTAACCCTCGCCGGACCTATTGGTTTTCTACATACGCGCCGGCCGAGGGGGGGGGGGGGGCGGGTACGACCCCCCCCCCTCGCCGTTTCGCCCCTGGTGGAGCTAGCGCGTCGCGGAAAAAACGAGCGTGTGCGCCGTTACGAGACGCAGAGATTTGTACCCGATTTTAAGGTCCTAGGTCAACCGGTGACCTCTGAGGTCAGGTCAAGTGCCCCAAGGTACGGTTCAGTTTTTGGTGAATAACTTCGCAAAAAACGGCCGCAGAGCGCCGATTTTGGCAGCATCGTGTTCGTCTCGCTCAGGCCCGTCTAATGATATACTTTTTGTCCGGGTCAGGTCAACTTTGGGTGTTGACCTCAGGTCAAGGTCAGGTCAGCACAGCCAGGTCACGAAGTTAGTCGAAAGGGGTCATGTCGCATATCATTCGATTCGGCAGGTCTTCCTCAGTCCATTGGTGGCTTTCCCGACTCGCTAGCTCAATTTGATCAAGAGTTATTGACGAAAAACTAATATGACCTTGATGACGTCATAAATGACGTCACGCAAGGTCAACATGGCAAAAGTGACGCATCTAACCTTGCAAGGAGTGCATAAAATCACGATTCTGTGTGCTTGAGATAGTTGGAGATCGTTCCCGGCGCCAGAATAGCAGTTTTCATTTTTCCCCATTGACTTATAATGGTGAGGTCACGAAAATGACCTGACCTCATATGACCTTTAGGAAAAATCCGAGATATACAAGTTGTGGGACTCATAATGGATACTAGATCCTGCAAATTTCATTTCCCTGTGACATCTCCTCTGGCAGTGAGGGCGTTGCGAAGTTGCGACATCTGAAGACCGTGCAGAGGTTCACTTATGACGTCATAGGTCAGTGACCTGACCTGACCCAAAAATGCGGTTGGTGTCAAAAGATGCGGCTTGGATCAAAGGTCAGGTATGCCAAGTTTCAGCTCTCTATCGCCAGCGTGTTTGGAGCTATCGCGAAAAAACCCTATGGGGGGGGGGGGCGGCACCCGCCCCCCCCCCTCGGCCGGCGAGGGTTAACCCGCGTCCCACTGGGGTCTGCGTATAACACGCCCTACTGGGGGGGGGGGGGATGTCCATCAAGACAGCCCATATTCAGCCCAGATTCAGCCCAGATTCGGGACACTTCCAATAAGGCTAAAACTCGCACACAATGTAGGTACGTACTCCTGACAATTGACATGCCCAATCCACAGTCCGAGTCATTCGGTGGCACTCCCAGCCGTTTGACCTACAGAGGTCAGCAAAGGTCACGTGGCCCTAATTTGTACAGTAGATTGTGGCGCACCCAGTAGAGCTAGAGCCCTAAAACTGGCACCAATCGACTCGCCAGCATCTAATCTTACTTTCCCAATACTCATTTGACCTCTCAAGGTCATGCAATGACTTAAGGTCATTTGTGGACTATGTCGAAAATACATATGCACAGCAGTTTTCGAGTAGATGGATTGACCGGATTCCAAATCAAAGCACATCATCGGCCAGCCTATAGGCCGTAGTAACTTTCCTTAAAAACCGCTTCTCGATATGTGACCCCGTTTGACCTCGGCAGGGCAAAATGTACAAATAAACGACACTCCATACGTCGCAGCCCGGATTCAGCCCAGATTCGGGACACCTCCGATCAAGTTGAAACTCGCATTCAATGTAGGCCCTGACATGCCCAATCCACAGTCCGAGTGATTCGGTGGCACTCCCAGCCGTTTGACCTACAGTACAGAGGTCAGCAAAGGTCACGTGGCCCAAATTTGCACAGCAGATTTTGGCCCACCCAGTAGAGCAAGAGCGCTAAAAATGGCACCAATCGACTCGCCAGCATCTAATCTTACTTTCCCAATACCCATTTGACCTCTCAAGGTCATGCGATGACCTAAGGTTATTTGTGGGCTATGTCGAAAATACACTTGCACAGCAGTTTTCGAGTAGAGGGATTGACCGAATTCCAAATCACAGCACATCATCGGCTACCCGATAATGTGCTTTGATTTGGAATTCGGTCAATCGTATTTTCGATTGCCGCTTACCGCGTGTCGCTACGTGGCCTAGAAGCCGAGTAAGAAGGGGGGGGTGTTCAGACAGCCCCCCCCCCCGGCCCGGCGCGGAGTCTCAGAGCACCGGCCCGGCGCGGGTTAAGTGTACTTAAAATTTTCCTTATTATTCGGTAAACTTTCATTAATTAATTAAGTCCAAATTAACCAAGTAGCATCATATCGCATATCATTCGATTCGGCTGATCACCAGGAAACACAATGACACCATTTTTTAAGCTCTAGCGTCATTGTGTGCCAAGTTATTGGCAAAAACGTCATTTGACCTCAGTTGACCTCATTTGACCTGACTCATGGATATGTTCGCCAAATAAAGAAGCACCAAGTGACATGCTGTTAAGTACTGTGGTTTCAAAGCACAAAAGTGATAGAACGAAGCGGAAATCTCCAAGTATTTTCCGAATTGAATATTTTCCCATAGGCTTAACATTACGACGCAATGACCTCTAACTGACCTCAGGTCAGTGACATAAAAATCTTAACTATATGTTATACAACTCGGTGACCTTAACACATCCTGAAAGTTTGAAGGAAATCAGTCCAAAACTGTGAGTTGGACAGGTGTATAAAGAAAATTGAAATTTGACAATGACCTTGTACGGTTTTTCTGACCTGGTGACCTGACCCAAGGCCACCCGGACCTGAAATTTTCAGGTCATATGTAAAAACGCTGCCCCATAGGCTATGCTAAATTTGGCGGCGCTGCGCCCCGCCGTTTTTACGCTATCTTTGAAAAACCTTAGGGGGGGTTGCATCAACCCCCCCTGCCAGGGCGAGGGTTAAAAACTGAGCTCCTGGGAGCGATAGCCGTGGTTCAATGTTTTTCGTCGAATTCGGCCAAACATGACGTCACTCTGACGTCATTTCCGGCCAACCTATGGCAGCTGCGAATTTCATATTCTGACACAAGGTGTCAAATTGATGCAGCCGAAAGTACTGAAAGTTTGGCGTCGATAGGTCAAGCGGTTTATATGGAAGTTATTGCAGAAAACGGGAAGGGGGCTATGAATAGCCCCCCCCCCCAGTGGGGCGCGGGTTAAAAAATCAGAAATTATTTCGAGTAATAGTATGCATTAAAAGTTAAAACGGATTATTTTATATATCTGTGACCTAAGGTCAGGTCAAATTTGCGACCTCTCCACTGTAACTGGGAAAAATTGAAGCGCGCCTCTTTTGGACGAATGTCGTTCTAAACCCTCTGAAACATCTGTTCATGGCTAAACATGACACACTGAATCAGAATATTGCACCTGTGATCCCTCTCTGTGCCCCTGAGGTCATCTCAGGTCATGAAAGGTTACAAACAGTTTTTTTTACTATAACTTTTGATAGCGACGTGCTAGAGCGGTGAAAACACGTCAGATGTGTTCAGCTCGACGATACAGATTGACTGATATGCAGCATGACCCTTTCCGGTCAGGTCATGACCTTAACCTGAGGTCGAGGTTGGCAGGGGGTGGCAAAAACTGGTTTTTGCCAGTGGTTTTAACCGGTTTAAACCGGCTGGCAGAAACCCTGGTGGCAAGAACTGGCAAAAACTGGCTAAAACTCAGATGACCAAACCTACAACTTTTCTAGTCAGGAATGGATTTGAAATGTACAAATGCATTTCTGGTAGTTATATAGATGCACTAAACATTCTGAAGCTGCCTCATTACTTACCCCTGCTTAAAATGTCTATGCATGTCGGTAGACATCCACAACGGAATGTATTTCCATGTAGGGGAGAGTGGGGCAAAGCAGCCACGGTAAGTAGGGTGCCATGCGGTGCCGTGCGCTTATCAGTGGCAGAGACCCCTTCGCACTTCTGATTGTGCAGGACTTACCCAGTCACCCTTGCACTGGCTCATTTGTCACCCCCAAAAGGCATCTTCCTAGCTTCTTATGGAAAGCCCATGAAAATGTTTCTGAGTTATGAAGCATTTCAATTGCAATGGTAATGTCACTTCTGTTTGAAAGCATAAAGCTTTCACCGAATTCTCCTTAAAATGTTTCATGTTCAAATTCATGTCTAGCCATAGCATTGTGATATTTCTTAGTTTTTGCCAGTTTTTGCCACTTTTTGCCGGTTAAAACCGGTTTAAACCGGCAAATGGCATAAACTAGTTTTTGCCGGCAAAAATGCCAACCCTGCCTGAGGTCAAATCTTAAAAATGACTTTCTAAGGTCAGCTTAGTTTAGTTGACGCTTCTCGACAAGAGGATCACGATGCTGGCAAAATGAATGTCGTGGCTTTCTCGAGTCAAAAGTTCAAAAACATGTTTTGTGAAAATGGCTCATTTTAGAGTTTTTGCCCTCTGGAGGCTAAACCGTTGACCTGAGGTCAAATCTGAGAACAATACCCAGAAAGGTCTGTAAAGGGCTACCAAATGCGCTTTACCGCGGCGGTGTAGCTCCATTGGTTTCCAAATAAACCGTCGGGTTTTTTTTCGAAAATTGATCACAGCACGACACTGGAAAACTCAGGCCACCAGCACGGCGCAGGTTAACACAAGCTGAAGCTGTAATACAACAGTTATCTGATCTCCGAGGACGGAGGACTGAAATACTTTGTGGAAACTACAAAACGTCGGGTGAGGTGATCACAATTGCCATATGTCTATTTCTAAATCTAGTTATACACATGCTATACATTGGACACCGTACAGCGCCCGGCCCCGCCAGAAGGATCCTAGCGCGCTGAGTAGTTGCCTCCAGCCGCGTCATCGCGAGACCCCGCGAGGCCCATAACTGAGTACGTTGCATGAATAGCCGTGTCGCCCCCTGAATGAATGCTAGTCCATATCGCTATGTGCAGGTAGCTACCCGTCACCACATCCGAACGGAAGCAGCAGTCCCGGCACTTTTTGATAGCACCTCGCACACTCACCATCCAGGGCCAATGGGTAGGGTTGGCGAGCCTTCCGCCCACGATTTTTCTTCCGAAATCTTTTGAATGTGTGCCTGTCTCCTCTTCCATCTCACGCAGCTTCTCTATCTTCTCAATAGCAGTTTGACGGTGCTTTTCTTGTGGCTTGCCACATACTGTAACAGTTCATAGTCAAACAGAAACTGGAAGAGACAAGTCATGCGCAAACCAAAGTCATCTGAAGATAAAAGAAGGCACATGCATGTCGTTTTCGCGACGGAATAGTGGGTACCTATCATATATCTGTTAATCCCTTTGATTGTTAAGGAATTGTAATACACCTTTTTGCGTTAGCTTTTGACCATTATTTGTACACATTCGCCATATAGGTGGCGCTACAAATGGGCGGTTGGTCACAAAGAATCACCCGAATCACCATTGAGCAAAACTATTCGGCGGTCCTCCAATACAACTCGGCGTTGAGTGAATGGCTCAACATTGTGAAAAACAAATCGTCAATGGTCGAAAATATTCTTCATATGCCAAGCTGGCTCACTCAATGCCGAAGTCTGGCGAAGTGTCAAACTGTTTTGCACATCGCTCATTTCAGTGTTCAATCTGTTTTGCTGAATGGCTAAAATGAGACACACAACGCCGGAATAGTTGTGCTCAATGTCGATTGTCGAAATGGCTCCCCAAACAGTTATGGCGAATGGTAGAATTCACATGCAAAAAGGTGTAGCTTTATTTTGTCGGTTTTTTACCTTTCAAATGAGGGCCAGTTACTTTGTTGCTTTTCTATATTAACCCTCGCACTTTTAAGGGAATAGACCCCCACCCTCGGTTTTTCGCGAAAAACTCAAGCAAAAAGTGGCTGATCGCGACAAAACCTTCAGTACCCTCGAGTTACTCAATTTTACACCTACTCTGAAAATTTCGTAAATCTGATCCAAATGACCTTTGAACTGTGACCTATTTGTTGAGACTGTTTGGTCGGAACCGCGATTGGGCGTATGCCAGATCAAATTTTCCACGCATTTTTAGCCTTTTTGACTGTAAATGTTCAAGAATTCAAATGATATTGGTCCCATGCATGATGATGGGTATCAAGTTCACTGCAATGTCATTGACCTTTGATGACTTCTGACCTAAATGTATGATGAAGACATCATCTGTGAACGAAACTAGCATGACATTCGTGTAAATGGGAAATAGGCAATGGGAGCGTGTTGTTTTTTATGTTAAAATCAGTTACACAAACACATGTGATTCGGGAATAATCCCTTGATCACATCATATAAAGTAGCTATATCCAAATACAATCGAGGTACATACAGCTATATCCAACACGTTCCCATTGCCTTTTCCATTTATATCAATACGTCTATCAATGACATTCGCGATCAGCACCTCGAAAAAACCTACAACCTCATTTTACGAAGTTCTAGTGCAGATCCTGACTTTCCCGACTTTTGGCTCATTGGCCAATGGTCAGACGTAGAAGGTGAAGCAGTGACCATGGATCTTATAATTGGGTATCATCGGCTTCCTGCCATCCGGGCAGCACGCTCTTGGCAGGGGGTCCAACGGACCCGCCTTGCTCCCCCCATGCGTTCGACGTTGACGAAACACCGACACGGGCGAGAGTAAAGGTATTATCAGGGTTGTTTTCTAAACATTCGGAGTTATTCAGTGTAACGTGCAGATGAAGGTGGCTGGTGCCTCAATCCGAAGTCATTCATACCAACTTTGCCTAATTTTGAAATGGTGGCCCTGGGGGGGGGGGGGTCGTCGCCTTCAAAGCGGCCCCCTGATGTGCGGGACCCCACCCATTTTTCGAAATCTCCATTTTTATGGGCATTCTGCTGAGCAGGCCCCTATGTCTGCACGATGACCCCGAGAGAGTTTGTATTGGGAAGTTTTAAGCGCACAATAGTTTGGTAATACTAATCAGTCGATGTTCTAGTAAAGCTGAACTGGACCCTTTCCTTTTGCCCGAATAACCCCCTGTCAATAATTTCATATAGCCGGACGGCAGCCCGCACATGAGAAGGCCCAAAATCTACGAATTTCTTATAACTGTCCCTTGTTTGCAAGGTCTCTGTGTCACGGCATTTCTAGGAACAGGCTCCGTTACCAGGCCCCTAACTAACCCACGCCCTGCAAGAGGGGGGGGGGGGGGATCTGAACATCCCCTGCGGTTTTTGGCAAATATTATCATACATCTTTCCCGTACATAAGACAAAGTTCAAGTCACCAGGTCACGTCAAGTGACCTCATCTCATAAAAAGTGTCAATGTCTACCATAGCTACGAGTGACTGTTCGCTTTGAAACTTTTAGCGATTGATAAGAGCAGCACTAAGTACAAAATGTTTATCTCGGAATTTTGATATCGGTGACCTAAGGTCAGGTCAATTTAGTGAACTCTAAGTCAATTGAAGTAAACGGAAAGGCGCCTCTTTTGGAGGAACGCCATGCTAAACAACATCTAACACTGGAATTGGATTACAAATAAATATAACATACTGAACTTGAAAATGACACCCGTGACCTCTCTTTATGTACCCTAGGTCATCTCATTGGGGCATATGCCACCTCCTCGTAAATGTTACATTTAATACCGTAAACGGGGGTGACTGCCGTGTTTTCAACTTTAGACGCCTGTATTCTTTAAGCTTGTTAACTTATTGGGATGACTCAATGTTCAAAACACGGATGAAGATTAGCTCTTTGGGTTTTGCTATTATCGTATTTATATCTTCCCTAAAATATAAATTATTAAGGAAAATGAGTCGTGGCAAAGTTAAACTGAAAAAGGGGTTACTTTGCCACTATGCCAACTAATGTTTTTTTTTTTTAACGCTAACAAATACTTTTCAAGCATTTTTGTTCCATAGCATGGGGAAGGGCAACCATCCTTAATTGTTTAATAGGAAAAAATAAAGCAATTCGGTATTTTTTGCTCTTAAATGATGTACAAAAAAGGAGAGATACCTTACTATTTATAATACATTATATTTGTTGAAAATAACTAAGATTTGATCGTAAATAGAAACTGAAAATGGTTCAGAATAGATAAATAAGCAAAGATATTATTGTATTGGCACTCTAGGACCTTGCCGCGTTTTTCCAGCGGCATTAAGAGGAACAGAAAGAGGACGTTCTTGCGGGAACTTAACTTACCGACATCCTTATTATCAGCGTTTTGATCTATAAAATGATACATATTTTTTCAGCCAGTCTTATTGGCAAACTCAGGAGTTGTAGATGATCATGGCTGTGCTAAAAGGTTATGCCCAGCTTCATCCATTTTTTATTTTGGTAACCTTTACCTTTTTATACTCCCACTGTGCATTCCTGTGTTAATTTTTAACATATAAACTTTTACATTCAAGAAAACCAGTTGGGAGATCAAAATGATGCTACATTTAAAACTTATTTTGAATTGCATCGGATAAGTATTTCATTTTTGCATTGATAACATGGTGGCAAAGTCACCCCAGCCAGCCATCCCAAATGGGGCCCACATGGGCTGGAAGTGGGGCATCTGGGCGAATGTGGGCTGGGCTACATCTGGGTATGTCATGGGCGTCCAACTGGGTCCCAGATGGGCTAGATGTGCTAACTTTACGTGCTGGACTTGGCCAGCGCCTCCACTGTGCCGCTACCCTGCCTGATCTGTGCCGCTACCCTGCCAGACTCCTGATCTGACAGCCGCCTGGGCACACCCCTGCCCGCGTCCCTGCGAGGTCGCTGATACCTACTGCGTCGCCGGTGTTCGTTGTGTGGTGCCGCGGCCGCGGGGGCGGCCGCGCCGGCAGTTGGTGACTATAAATAGACGCAATACGGCGCTGACGGACCGCTCGGGCCTCTATCACTATCGTTACAAACTCTTCCCTTTTTTCACAATAGGTACGCATCCACGCTTCCGTTCTCTACCGGCCGCCGGCCGCCTACCTGCAGTGTTAGCGTAGTGTAGTGGTTAGGGTCCCCGCATCATGTTCCATAGGTCTTGAGTTCGAATCTCCGGGGATCTAGTGAGAGGCAAAGGGTATGCGGTTCTCCCACGTGTGACCACATTGCTTTTTGGGATTCACGCGGAAATAGTGGACGACATAAGCTAGGTACCAAATCCCAATTAAATTCCATGTGCGCTTTTTGCATGTGTCCGTCTGAGTCCCAACTGGGAAAGCCCGTGTGGGACCCATATATATGCATATATCCCAGCTGGGTCCCATATGGGCCCCACTTGGGCTGCCCATGTGGGTCCCAACTGGGAAAGCCCATATGCGGGCTCAATACGGGCCCCAGATGGGTCCCACATGGGCCCCGTCTGGGGTGCCCAGATGGGACCCAGTTGGACGCCCATGACATTCCCATCTGGGTCCAAGGTGGGTAGCCCAGATGGGTCCCAGTTTGGAGCCCACTTGGGGCCCATGTGGGCCCCACTTGAGAAGGCTGGCTGGGACCCCATGTGGCCTGCAATTCACTTGAAAAATCGCCATCAAAAATTTTAGCTAAATGAAGTGACAAATGCCAGTTTTGTTGGATATGCTAACTTAACAGCCTTGTCATGATATACCATACCAAGTTTCAGCATCGCAGTTGGTCTAGAACATGGTTATTGGTTAGATAATAAAAAGTTCGGACCTCTTCAAATTTGACCATTTCAATGACTCCAATAAAATGGAGCCCATTTCGGTATTTAGTGGTAGCTTATCTCTCAGTGTTGGTTATGTTGGAAGGCCCATCAATTATCTTTCATTTGTGCATCGTAAAATATCGCTGGAGATCACCCTAAAACATTTTTTGAGAAGCATGGCAAAGTCACCCAGCATGGCAAAGTCACCCCCGTTTACGGTAACTCCAATTTTTGGGGGAAAACTGATTACACCTTTAGGGACAGCTCGGGCGCTCAGACGGCCTCGAATGACTTTGCACCAGTGACTGTTGATGATGGTTACGACGATGATCCTGGCAGTATGGTTCACGCGCGCGCCGAAGACCGAGATATAAGAACGGATAATGGAGGGGAGGGAAGGGCTTGAATTTGAAAAGAATGAGGCAGGACTGACACCTGACAGGCAGACATCTGTGTCAAGTGGAAACAACTCTGACGTGATTCCAAGCTCACCATCTGCAACTGCAGCTGAAGATGTCTGTATGAAAGCTTCT